CTTTTTCTTCCTAACTCCCTTCCTTTATTTTTCTTTTGTTTTTTTTTTTTTTTTTTTTTTAGTATTTCAAAACTTCAGTGGATATTCTACATTTCCCGTGAGAAAAATAGCTAAAAAAATATTTTCGGGGGTGCTGGAATTTGATAACACTGGTATCTCAGAGTGATCTGAAACATGATGGCTATTATTTGTGTTTTTTGCAAATAAAAATTGGAAACTCCCCCAAAAACAACAACAACAAACAGCTGCATTGGGAATGCTATGTGGCATTTGTACTGTTCAGTGGTGATTATTTCGTAAGTTCTTTGTAACTTAAAACTTCATATTTTCAATAAATAGGAATAAAAACAAGGGGAGGGAAGTGAAGAAACTATATAGGGTAGTGGACTTCAAACACCAGCTCACAGATTTCTCAGTGTCTCTTACAACCTATTCACTGGTCTGCTGTGAAATAAAAAAAATAAGGGAAAAAGAGTTTGGCATAAGATGTACCTCAAGACTAGAAATTGTTTGCATTTTGAGCATATGTTTTGGCTAACAGGAGGCTTGACATCTTTTTCATGTACTAATTATGCTTTTTCATCTTGGGTCTAATTGGGTCTTTTTTTTTTTTAATTGGGTCTTAAGATATAAACTATTTAATGTGAATGACAAATGATTAATGATTTTTTTTTCTCCCCTTAGGTACATCCAGAAAGTGCTCAGAAGAAACTTCCTGCCAGAAAAACTAAAAAAGCAGTATTTATAACACTGGAATTTTTGGGTAACTTATTAAAATGGCAGAAAATAATGAAAGTAATAGTAAAGATGTAGATGTCAGACCCAAAACTAGTCGGAGTAGAAGTGCTGACAGAAAGGATGGTTATGTATGGAGTGGAAAGAAGTTATCTTGGTCAAAAAAGAGTGAAAGTTTTTCAGATGCTGAAACAGTAAATGTTATAGAGAAAACTGAAGTTCCTTTACAGAGCCAAGAAAGAAAGCACAGCTGTTCATCCATCGAGTTGGATTTAGATCATTCTTGTGGGCATAGATTTTTAGGCCGATCTCTTAAACAGAAACTGCAAGATGCTGTGGGGCAGTGCTTCCCAATAAAGAATTGTAGTAGTCGGCACTCTTCGGGGCTTCCATCTAAAAGAAAAATTCATATCAGTGAACTCATGTTAGATAAGTGTCCTTTCCCACCTCGATCAGATTTAGCCTTTAGGTGGCATTTTATTAAACGACACACTGCTCCTATAAACCCCAAACCAGATGAATTGATAAGCACAGATTTGTCTCAGAGTGAATTGAGAGATGGTCAACTAAAACAAAGAAGAAACATGGAAGAAGAGGTGAACTGTTTCTCACATGCCAATGTTCAGCCCTGTGTTATAACCACCAACAATGCTTCATGTAGAGGTGGTCCTATGGCTGGCTCTTTGATGAACCTGGTTTCAAATAATTGTATAGAAGATAGTGATATGGATTCAGATGATGAAATTATAACACTTTGCACAAGTTCCAGGAAAAGAAACAAACCCAAATGGGAAATGGATGAAGAAATCCTTCAGTCGGGAACAACTCCTAAGTACCACACCCAGATTGATTATGTCCACTGTCTTGTACCAGACCTCCTTCAGATCAATAACAATCCATGTTACTGGGGAGTTATGGATAAGTATGCAGCTGAAGCTCTCCTAGAAGGAAAACCAGAGGGTACCTTTTTACTTCGAGACTCAGCACAGGAAGACTATTTATTCTCTGTTAGTTTCAGACGCTATAGTCGTTCTCTTCATGCTAGGATTGAACAGTGGAATCACAACTTTAGCTTTGATGCACATGATCCTTGTGTCTTCCATTCTCCTGATATTACTGGGCTCCTAGAACATTATAAGGACCCAAGTGCCTGTATGTTCTTTGAACCACTTTTATCCACTCCCTTAATTCGGACTTTCCCCTTTCCCCTACAGCATATATGCAGAACAGTTATTTGTAACTGTACAACTTATGATGGCATTGATGCCCTTCCAATTCCTTCTTCTATGAAATTATATCTGAAGGAATATCACTATAAATCAAAAGTTAGAGTACTCAGGATCGATGCACCAAAACAATGCTAGGTAGAGGGTAGGAACATGGGAATTTAATACCTTATTTTTCTTAATGCTACTTTGAGTTTTTCTACAAGGGCAGTTAAGAGTCTGAAATAAACCTCTGCCCTAAATTTTGCTTCCAGATCTGTTTATTTTTCTTACAATACACTAATTGTTTAAAGTTACACACTAAGGGTTAGTGGGTATTTTTGACCAAGTGGTTTTTGTTTTTATTCTATAGAGTACATACTTAACTTTTTTTCTTAATTGTAATTTGCATATGATCCAGGGATATTTGAAAATTGGTAAACATTGTAAACACAGTTAATAATTTGTATTTCATTATTTTCTTTAAAAATAATCCTATGTCCTTTCTTAGATGTAAAATGCTTTGTTAACTTATGCCATTGGCATTCCTATACCTAAAATATGGTTTCCCCATCTCCCTTTCCAGAATTGTTTTCAAATTCTTCAGTAAAGCTGAGTGTTGTAATTTACAATCTATGCTAATGTAATTGACTTGTAATTTACTAATAGGGATGTTAAAGGTAACAACATAGCTTAAAATCCAACTTGATGTGTTTTTACAGTATTTTAAAATATTAACTAAAGCAGGATTACTAAATTTGATTAATCTCATCAGTAAGAATCAAATGAGAGCATAACATTTTTGGAGATGAATGTATTCTACAATGTGGCATGGCCATTTGTTAATCCTTGAATAGGTCTCTCTTAAAACCTGGAACATAAATATTGTTCCTTTCTCACTGGGAGCTTTAAAAATAATGATAACACTGTTAGTAACTAGTAGTTACTAAAGTTCTAAAAACAATTGTGGGGTTGTTTTTTTTCCTGTATTTACTTATGAACTGTTGCTTCTACTTAGCTCTTTTATAGAAACTCAGCCTGTTACTTGGGGAGATGCTACAGTTTATAAACAGCCATGCATTTTCATTGGTCCCTAAATAAGTTTTCATTATTTTAAATTGAACTTGAATAAAGATTCAAGAAGTGAACATACAGGTTAGTATTCAGAAAGCTTAATATTGTTTTTAATCTTCAAGTTTCAAATAATTATTCCTAGCTTCAGAATTAACATGTCTTTATTGTAACTTCAAAAAAAGGAAAACATTTTGAGAGCTACATGGCTTAGGCCATACTGAACAGTACTAGGCAATAGGTGTAATATTTTAAATTTACTTTCCCAAGAACAGGAAAGCATTTTTAGAAACACCATTATCCCTATGTAAGATAAATGAAGTGATATCCTATCTATCCACTCTTTTTAAAAGAATCAGTGAATAATAAATCTTCTAGACAACTGTTTCTTCTGATGACCTGTTGACATATAGTAATTAATTTCTTGATGCTGGTTTAGCTCTAATAGGAAACTTTCTACCTGGGTTGAAAAAATTTTTACTAAAATTTAGTTATAATAAATGTTTCTTCAATACCATTGCTTTTATGTTGCAGTAGCATTTCTATTTCCTGCAGCTCTGCTGCTAATATAAATATAGCATTTTTCAATAATAGTGTTAAAATAAATTTTTAGCAATTACCACAAAATTAAACCAAGAAAATCTGTTCCCATTATCTTCTACCATTCTTTTTTCTCGGTGATCTCAAAATTGTCTTGGTTCCAGTGAAGGGTAGCTATTAGAATAGCACCTCTCTTAGCAGATGAGGCTCAGGATTTCAACACCAATGTCAGGATAAATATCTCTTATAAAGATGCTGTTTTCCTTTTACAAAAGAAAAGTCTCATACTACCTCATCTTTATTGTGGCACTTTTGTAGTTCACTGAGAAGCTTATCTTATTTACCAATATTACAATTCCTAAATACTCATCTTTGGTGAAAGAAAATTAATAGTATGGTAAGACTCTACCCATGATTATAATTTTTTATCAGAATTTGATAATGAGACTTTCTGTTTCTATGAAACAATTATTTTAAATATTTTTCTTTAAAAATAATTTTTATCAGTACAGAAAAACCTAAGGGATGACAAAAACAAATATTCTGTTAAAAGGTAATTTTATAAAGAAAAATGAAGCATAATTATGTTGTCTTTTATAATGGTAAAAATTGGTGTTTATATAAAATCAAAAATCTAAGTAGCTTTTCATATAGTCAAACTGTGATATATTTTCTTTGGCTTTCTCAATTTCAAGGTATTAATAGCTGTTATACTGCCATATATATATAGCCTTGAAGTAGATGATCTAATAAATGAGAGCAGGAAACAGACTCATTTATTCTGAAATGGTTTGTATTTTTCTTTGACATTTGCTACAGTTAAAAGAAACCTGGAAAATCTATACATATAAAAGCCTAAGCAACTGAACGACTGGTTGACTAGTTGCTATGACATGCATTGACCACCAGGGGGCAGATGCTCAACACAGGAGCTGCCCCTTGGTGGTCAGTGCGCTCCTACAGCCAACCTCCCGCATTCCCTCCCCACCCCCAGCCAACCTCCCGTGGTCCCTCCCCCAGCTGGCCCCCCCATCGGCCCTGATGGCTGGCCAGGCTGAGGGACCCCACCTGTGCATGAATTCATGCACTAGGCCTCTAGTAGAAATATAAATACTTGGGAAGGAAACTGTTTACCATAAAGGAAAACAAAAAGAGTAATAATAAATTTAATTTTTAAATGAATTTAAGAGGTCTGAATTTAGAAAGGGAAACCCCTTTCTCAGTTTCTTTGTGAGGACATATTTGGAAGAGCATCCAATATTCAGAAACAAACTCATGTTAAAATGCAATTATGGAATAGATAAGTAAAATGAGTTACGTTTTGAGAGGAACAATATGGGAAGATACCAATAAATACAAATTTTGTAACTCTAAGACATTGTGACAATTTGAAAAGTAAATTCTAGAGTTGAGAAACCATCATGGTGGAAATATGTAGCGCTTATTGTTAAAAGAAGATGAGGTTAAAAGAAACAAGATAAAATATTAAACTTAAGAATTTAGGCATTACCTCAGGGAAAAGCCTTGACAGTGAAAGGGAACTACTTAATCGCTAATAGCTAGCCTGGACCACACACTTAACTGCACTTTGGGAGTCATCCTGCACAAATCAGGAAATAAACTTGACTTTTCTATTTCTCTCTGAAGCTTTTCAGGACATTAACCCACTCCCCTTTAAGCTGTAGCATCTTGGTTCATACTATAATTCCAAAAATATGGTGATGGATTTTTTTAGGTTTCTTGAGTATTTTTGTATGAAGAATCATGTGTGATCTTTTTATAACCATACCATTCACTTAAATAATTCACAATGGGAATGGTTTAATTTAAAGGAAGACTTAACAGGAAGAAGATTAAAGGAAGCTTTTAGTCAGCCTGTGGCTAGATTTATTGATTTGGTAATCAGTCCTGTATTCTTTCCTGAATTTCAGCTGATGGCAAATTGTGGTCAAAGAATGGCTTTCAGTTAGTTTTGACTTCTTATAAATAATAATAAAAGAATGTCTTAGAAATTAGAAATCCTTTAAGAAGTAGAACAAATGTGGCAATTAGGACTCATTATATAAATTCTATTTTTTAAGTCTTTTTAAAAAATATATTTTTATTGATTTCAGAGTGGAAGGGGGAGAGAGAAACATCAGTGGTGAGAGAGTCATTGATCAGTTGCCTCCTGCACACCCCACATGGGATCAAGCACGAAACCCGGGCATGTGCCCCTACTAGGAATCAAATCGTGACCTCCTGGTTCATAGGTCTACACTCAAGTACTGAGCCATGCCGGCCGGACTCCATTTCTTTTTATAAGAAGAACAAACTGTTATCATTTATTCAAGAGCCAAAGCCATTAAGATAAATCAAGTTATCAGCTTCCTGTCTCTGAAGTTTGGATCATTTTACAGATCCACATAGTAGAGAGCTTCCTTCCTTTGAAACCAAAACCTTGAGACCTAATTCATGAACAATATGCTTAGTTTTCATTTAAAATATTTTGTCATTTTAAGCTATAATTAGTCAAATCAGTTATGTATTGATTTTGGTAGACCAAATTTTATAGGAAAGTAGACTTACAAGATTCTTGGAGACAACACAAAGAAAACAATGCTGAAATTTAAAGTAGCCTGTGTTAAAATAGTGCCCAAATGAATAAAAGATTTTAAGCAAATTATTTCTACTTTGGAAAAAAATCTTTATAATTTTGGTTTTATAACTAGTTTTACAATCATTTTTATTTCTAAAGAATGAACGGAAAGCACAAAGGGTTTACTTTTTTAGAATATATTTTTTTATGACTTCAGAGAGGAAGGGAGAGGGAGAGGGAGAGAGAAACATCAATGATGAGAGAGAATCATTGATCGGCTTCCTCCTGCACGCCCCCTACTGGGGACCCAGCCTGCAACCTGGACATATGTTCTTGACTGGAATTGAACCAGGGACCCTTCAGTCCTCAGGCTAATGCTCTATCCACTGAGCCAAACTAGCTAGGGCAAAGGGTTTACTTTTTTAATGACCTGCCAGAAATGAGCAACACTACAAGAATCTGTCTACACTATTCTAACAAATTAAGATATTGGGCACAAAATGGAGGTAACTTTTTTGATATGCATTGATTTCTAATGGATATAACCCAATGGAAAGGGATTTGGTGCACATTAATCTGATTTCAAATAAAGACAGAATTTTTTTTTTAATTTTCAATAGATTACTCAATCCTAAATCTTTCTTTGCCTTCATTTCCTGGCATATAAAATGTAGATAATACTTGTCACTTGACTTCTGAATTGTTCAGTTAAAGAGGTGACCGTTGGAGCATACTTGAAAATAATTTCTGTACAGCTGTTAAGTGCTAATGTGTTAATAGATTTTCAAAGTATCCCCTTAGTGGAGCCTGCAGATTCACATTCACTCTTGGTCTGTAATAGATTTTCTTGGCTTGATATAACAATAGAGATAATACATTTTGAATTGATGGTGTAGATTCTGCAATAGATGAAGACTTGCAATTAAGGTTTATGTAAAATTGATGTTTGCCCAAGTTATTTTAAAAGTTGATTACATTTGCAGGAAGTAAAGATACAGGCATACCTTATTTTATTGTGCTTCGCTTTATTACATTTTGCAGATTTGGGGGGGTTTTAATTGAAGGTTTGTGACAGTCTTGTGTCAAGCAAGTCTATTGGCATCTTTTTTCTAGCAGTATTTGCTTATTTCATGTCTCTATCACATCTTGGTAATTCAATATTTCAAACTTTCATTATTTGTTGTGATCTGTGATCAGTGATCTTTGTCAAATCTCAGCTGATGGTTAGCATTTCTAGTAATAGAATATATTTTAATTAAGGTACATACTTTTTAGACCTAATGCTATTGTACACTTAATACAATATAGTGTAAACATAACTTTTATATGACTGGGAACCCCTTTGTTTCATTTCGATATTCATTTTATTGCAGTAGTCTGGAATTGAACCTGCAATATCTCCAAGGTATGCCTGTAATCATTTTGCAGTGGTTATAAAATCTGAGCTTTCAGACTTGAGAGAGTGTAAAACTCAAGGAAGGTTACTTACAGTATGCTAACTTTGCTAGAATTGGACAAATTCTGTATAAACCAAGTATGAACTTGATATATACTTAAATATACAGAGTTCACAAAGCTATTAGTGCCCTTGTCAATCAGGGTTGTATGATTCACCCCTTATCCAAAAAGAAGACTGTTGCTATTTTTATTTCAAATCCTGAAGTTGATTTCTTCTTGGATGTGATTTCAAATAAATTGATTTGAATAAATTTTTGTTTCTTAATTAAAACTTCATATATAAAATCCAAAGGCTTTGTATTTTGCTTTTAAAACATTGTCCTTACGTCGTACATTAAACTAAGAATCTGAAAAAGAAATTTTAAAATCTATATTCTTACACATTTTCTAATTTATAATACATTCCTTTCAGTCTGTGGTGTGTCAGTTTGGGTCTTCGAAAGTCGGATGTCACGATGTGATTAAATGCAAGAGATTTATCGGGGTGGGGCAATACCTATGACGGATAAAACTGAAGGGAGGAGATGAAGTCTTCATAGCAAATTATAGGCCTGACATCTGTGAAAGAAATGGAAAGATTGGATTGGGTGAGCAGAGTTAGGACAGTTCTAAAATAACTAGATGGCGATTTAGTTTCCAAGCAAAGGTTGTAAGAGCCTACCATGAATAAAAAGATTTTAAAGATAACACTTTCCACAGACTTTATATTACTGCTTCAGGCTTCCTTAGGCTCCACAAGACTGCTGTTTCACTCCTATGAGGGCAGGTTAGGTCGTTCACACTAATGGTGTCATTCTTTTTTTCAAAAAATATATTGTTTTTACAGAGAGGAAGGGACAGGGATAGAAACATCGATCAGCTGCCTCTTGGACACCCTCTACTGGGGATGTGCCCACAATCAAGGTACATGCCCTTGACAGGAATCGAACCTGGGACCCTTGAGTCCGCAGGCCAACACTATCCACTGAGCCAAACCGGTTAGGGTAAATGATATTCTTCATAGACCACTGCCCTTATCCAAAAATCTGCCTTCCCAGGCTTAGGTATTTGAAGTTCCTCTATAGTTCATTTATTGGTATGAGAATTATGCGTGCAGTGCCACATATCTGGAGATAAATCTTCATTTAAGAAGTTTATAGTAGCCCTAAGCAGGTAGTTCTACTGATTGGAGCATCCTCCAGCTATGCCAAGGTTATAGGTTGGATCCCTGGTCAGGGCACATACAAAAATCAAGCCATGAGTGCATAAATAAGTGGAACAACAAATTGATGTTTCTCTAAAACCAATTAAGGTTTATAGTAAAATGTCCATCCATTGACCCAACTTAACAGCTTACACAAGGACGCAAAACGTTATACGAATATAGCATCCTTTTCCATGTAAAATATATGTACCTAGTTTGCGCATGGAATTATGGCATCATGACTAGCCAGCAGATTCCAGTATTGTCCCTTTAGCTCTCGCGTTTTGGCTAGAAGGTTCGCGCCCCCCATTGGGCCGCATAGCGCGCTTCCTGCGCTGTAAAAACCGCCCAGCGTAGATGGAATCTACTAGAACCTGCCCGTGAGCCATTCCTGGAGCAATTGAGCAATTTCCGCCGGGCCGCCCGGACGTCACTAGCCACGGTCGTTTCCTCTGAGGGCTCGGAACTCCGGAAACTGAGGAGCTTTCCAGCCATTCACGGAAGAAAGCCGTCCGCCCGGGAGCGAGCTCCTTCTACAGATCTTTTCTTAATCTTGCTGGCTTGAACTGAGCCACATGCCCACTCTTGCATCAATTACTGGAAGAG